TTATATAAGGTAGCTACTATTTACTATATTAAAGGCCCCTTTAATATCTATTATAATTAGTGTATAGTATTTCTACTAGTCTAATGCTATTTCTATGTTATATACTAAGGCTACTATAATATTAGTAGCTAAGCGCTTTAGAAATACTCCTACTACCTAGGGATATAGTATCCCTAGTTTAACGTATTTCTTTATTATCCTCCTAGCTACTAGCTATTCTAGGCCTTTGCTAATAGTAGAGAGTAGAAAGATTAGGCGTTACCCCCCTAGGGTACTAATGTCTTAGTTTAGTTTAAGGATTATAACTATCTCTATATCTTAGAATAGTTATAGGTAGAATCCTTGTTAAATACTCTCCTTAAATAGGCATTAGGTGTAGGTATTAATATAAGGCTAGGCTACCTATAGTAGTATAATAGTAATACTATCTACGCTAAGTATAGTATTACTAGCGCCTAGTAGTACTAATTTTACCTCCTCTAGGGGGATATTATTATCCTATAGGATAGACTACCTTAGGATAACTAGTATAGCTAGGTTAATATCTATTTTTATATTAAATCTTTTTAGAAGCCTCCTTTAGAGGACGTTAGCCTTCTTAATAGGTGTAGTAACTATGTTTTTATTGTCTTATAGAGGGGGCACTCTAAATTAGCTTATTAGCTTATGTTACCTTATAATATAGTATATGTCCTTGTTTATCTTTATATTATTAATCTAGTTAGTCTAGTATTTACCCTTAGCAGTTCTAATAGTTTTTTAAAATACCTTTGCTGCGGCGTCTGTCTTCTTACTACCCTTCTGTCTTGCTTAGTAGTATCTTTGTCTTACTTCTAAGTATTCTAGTGTCCACCACACGGCTGACTTTAATAAGATCTATGTTTTCCTAGCTATATGTACTACCTCTTATAGGAGGCTTATTAGAGCTATTACTACTCTATCTAGGGTAATTAGTCTATCTGTCTCCTCTAGAAGTGTCTAGGCCTAATTAGCTACCTTAGATATAAACTTAGCTAACACTTCTAGTAAGTTAATAATTATCCTTGTTTCTTCTTTATTTAGTTAGCTATTAGTTAAAGGGATTACTATAACTAGCGTTAAGTAGTCTAAGCTAGTGTATAGGTAGTCTACTACCTAGGTAAATGCCTAAGGAATATTAGAGAAGACTAGGTCTAGTGTGTTACCCCTGTTATATATTAGTACGCTTAGGGGGCTTATAAGTAGTATCTGTTGTCTATTAGCCTATTTAGTGATACGCTTCCCCCTAAAGTCCAAAGGGCTCCCTAGTTACTACATAGGGTACCTTACGTTAAAGTCCCCTGCTATTATAGTCTTTGCTAAGGGGGCCTAGTCCTATAGTATATCTAGTACCCCTGTTATACTAGGCTAGTAGTAGATATTTATAAAGAGGATATTAGAGAAAGTAATCCTTAATATATTATATAACTATAGTTAGTTAATATAGTATATATCTATAACTTAATATATCTTTCTAATATAGGTTAGTACTTATAGTTAAGTGCTAGTATTTAACTAACTAATAATTAGTAAGAATAGTTTATAGTTTAGGTGTATCTTTGTAACGTTTAAAGTCCTGTTAGTACTATAGAATAGTTCCTATATTATTATAGTGTCTACCTTGTCGTAGTCCCTATTAATTAGTGCAATATTATATATTACTCTACACCTATGCGTATTAATATAGAGGATCCTAAGTTCTTTTACTATTATCTTAGTAAGGAAGAAGGGATTAGTGTGCTAAGCTTAGGGGTAAAGGCAAGTGTAGTGCCCCCCTCTAAGATATCTTTAGTATCTATGTTTATCTTAAAGACATTATACTTAAGTATATATAGTTAGTTACTCTTAGTAGCTAGTTATCCTAATAGGCTACTACTACTAAAGTTATTATCTTATTACTTTATATCTTATATCTTAAGGTAAAGGCGTTACCTCTTTTATCTAATTACCTATCTCTATAATTTTATAGGTCTATTTATATATTTATTATTGTCTTTTCTTAGTTATAGTAGGTAGTCCTAGTAAGTGCTCTTATAGAGTCCTTTATAGTTAGTGTATTATTTTAGTTAAGAGTAAGGTTTATTCCTATGTTTACTTTTTACTTTACTATAAATATTATACACCTATGTCCTATAGTAAGGCCTATTAGTATACTAGTTATAGTAGATAGTGTACTAGATTAGTCTAAATCTATTATATAGTTACTATAAGAGTATACTATTTAGTAGGTAAAAGGGCTTTATAGCCTCCTTAAGTGCTACTATCTAGGTCTTATTATTATTATTCTCTGTGTTTCTTATAATGTAGTATTACATAAGGCTTTGCCTAGTTACTGTCTATATCTCTGTCCTAATTATTTTATCTATAACTCTAACACTACCTCCCTTGTAGTTATATATATAGCTTAGGACTCCTCTAATTCTATAGAAGGTCTATGCCTAGGTTCTATTAATATTAGTTACACTAAGCTATTTAGATAGCTTAGTGTAGTAATCAAGTATAGTCTATCTAATTTACTTACTTACTAGGGTAATTATATAGCTAGTTAATACCTAAGTTGTCTTCTTAACATCTATAATTTAGATCTTATAGATCTTAGCAACGTCTTAGTAGATAATAGTAGATAGGACCTTAGTGTTAGGCATATAGATAAAGAGGCGTCTATCTATAGTAGTATTATATTATTTAGATCTTGCTTATAGGTTCTCTTTGCCTCCTGTAGGTCTTTAAGTACTACTAGCTACTCTAGTTCCCTTAGCTTAATAGCCTTCTTAGGGGTAAGGCTACACTAAGGTCTAGCCTTAATCTTTTGCCTAGGCTAGGTTTAGGGTATACTGTTGCTACTAGTAGGCAGTTCTATTCTTAAGTACATTAAGGAGTAGGTTAGTATAGTAGGTGGTTACTTACTAGTGTTATACCTCCTTGCGCAGTTGTTGTAGTGCCTACTAGAGGGTGTTAATAAGCGTATTGCCTACATGTCTATAGCTATTGTTAAGGGCTATAATCTCGCTTAGCTACTCTTCTAGAGTATAACTTACGTTTATTATTAGTCTATACATAGACGCGTTAATCCTTAGCTTAGCCTTAAGGTTATTAGATAGCTATAAGAGAGTAACTAGCGGTGACAATAATATAGCAATAGTTAGAGAGAGCTCTAATCTCTTGCGCTTTGAGGGGGAACCTTTGTTATTCCCTTTAAGAGGGCTAGAATCAGAGAGGACCACCAAGCCCGGCGGCCGGAGGCCCGGCCGGAGGCGCGCGGTCGCGGGGGTGGCCGGCCCGAGGGCCGACATCGCAGAGGGGGGTTTTTGGTGTGTTAGTGGTTTGGTGGAGGTGCATGCACATGCACTAACAGCATGTGGGTTGTAAAATAAAAAGGAGGGAAGGTTGATGCGATGTGAGCGTATGGCTTTGGAGAGAGACCCTAGGACGCCGCCACCCCTAATTCTCGCCACCCACCTAGAGCCAGAAACAGCTCTATCCGCACTGTTACAAGCGGCCTCAACCGGCTGAAGGGAAAACACCAGAACAAAGCGTAAAGCCTTTTGTATCACTAGTGAAATAACTGCTGCCGCCCTGTATGTAGTGGTCTTGTTAGGGTTAGACTTGGAAAAGAAACTATAGGCTGGGAATACATACCAGTCTTGTTTATATTAAAATATAACTTGGTTTCTATTCCTATGAAAACGGTAAGATTATACACGTTTCCATAATAACGTAGAGAGGTAGTATAACTAACTACATACAGTTCCTATTGAAAAAGTACTTAACATTCAGTTTTTTATTACAGTATCTTTATAACTAACCTATTTAATCTGTAGATATAGGTTTTTACTATATAGAAGACGGTTTCCTTCTACTACTAGCAAGCTTTAATCTATTAGTAGTTTATTACGTTTACCTATAACTATTTATAAATATATAAGGTATGTAGACGTAAATAAGCAACCGTAAGCTACTGTATATATTTCCTTACTATCTTTAGGGTAAAGTAGAGTAAACACTCTATCTGTTTAGCACAACCTTTCTTTAATCTATAAAAAGCTACAGAAATACAATCTATTAGAAACTGCTTACCCCTTTTACTTATTACACTTCTAATTCTATTACTTACTTAGCGTTACCTAAAAACCCTACTACCTTTGTTATATTATAACGTAGTATCTACCTACTTATATAGTAATCATATCGCTAAAATACTATACCCTACGTATGTAGTAATCACCGTAACCCCAGGGTTTAGGCAGAACCCTACGCCTAAAAAAACACGAGAACTATAAGGTTAGGCAGGTAGATAGAAGGGCGTATCCTCCAGCTCTTAAGGCATCCCTAGTCAAAGGGTTCTTAGCTCTTATGCTTCTGTCCAAGCCATGCGGAAAAGGCGGACCAACAGGCTAGGGGGGGGGGGGGGGGGGGGGGTGGTCCTCTCAATAGCAGGCAGGCACTACTTCGCAGCCGCTAGAGCCGCCGCCAGCGCCGCAGTTACAGCCGGCTGTTGTCACCGTCTTCGTCGCCGCCGTTACCGCCGTTATGTATTCCGTCCGGACACGTCAGGCGCCAAGAGACAGGCGTATTACTAAGGACTATAGCAACCATTAGTCAAAGGCTTCCGAGGTTTCACACTCCTGCAAAAGCCATGTGTGGAAGGCAGACTGAAAGTGTCGGAAGACAACCTCTCGCCGCTGGTCTAGGGCGGCGGAAAGGTAGGCCGGCCCCTGTCTTCTTATAGTGATAAGCACCTGTTGGACCTCGTCACAGCCTAGGATGGGGCGCTTGCCTGGGCCGGCATTGATCCCTAGGCCGGCCTCCATCTCACGTCCACAAGCATTTATATGATCTCTGTATGGCCTCGGGATGAGGCGCCTACTTGGGGGTAGCAGACGGGGGAGGCCGGTTCAACTGTCTGCCGTGCTATTCCGCGTGTAGCCGCCGTTACACGACAGGCGGCTCTTGCCTCCTTTTTGGCTGCCTCGCGCGCCTCACGTCCCCCTTATGCCAACCCCAGACTCAAAGCAGTACATGCTCTTTGAGAAGCCTTCCACCCTACCACAGCATCCAAAGACAGAGAGGGACGCCTCTACGTATTACCGTCACGCCTACAGGCGGCCCCAGCCCTATCGCCTCTCCTGCCGCCGTCCCCGCCGTGTATTTAGGGCGAATACGCCGGACGACCGGAGGGACAAACAAGGCCGGGGTCCTAGGGACAGCCCTTATAGTGCCGTCAGCCCTAATGTCAGCAAATCAGTCCTACCCGGCGGGAGAACAGCGCGTCGTCGACATTGAGCGTCAGATGAGACGGCCTGGCAGGAGACGTAACAGCCCTGTTTTATATCTTCACCACCAGCGCCAAGAAGCCCTACTACTCCGAGACCGAACGTTTGGTCTCCGTCAAGCGATTCACCGAGAAAGGGTCTGGTGTTAAGGTCCTTGTCGCAGACACAAACGTGTCTCTAAACGGCCTTAATTTACAGGATCAATATCCATCGGCGCCTTTATTCGTATTTAATAGGCTACCCATGCCTGTATCAAGGGAGCAGGCCGCCTGGTGTGTTTGGGCCAGAAGCACCCAGTCACATTCCACATCCCAAAAGTCAACAATCTTTGGCCTAATGCACAGGCGACGAGGCCTCTGATTCCGTCGAGAGCCCCCCAACCACGCCGGCAAGGCCGCGTGACCAATCGGCCATTAGCGCCTCAACCCGAGACACAGCGCGTCCTTCCCCCAACCCCAGCATGCCCAAGCAGTCCTCAACCAAGGCGTACCCTAGGCGGTCCTGCCGTCATCACCAGCACCAGGGCCGCCGCCTCTGTGTATTAGTGTATTCAGGGCGAGTACGGCAGACGACAGAAGGGACCAGTAAGGCCAGGGCTCTAGAGAGAGCCCTCTAGGTGCGAGTAGGCTTACAGTCTGCCATAACGAAGAAGCACTATCCCAGCGGCGGATGCCTAATGCCGCAGAAGTCCTGCTGGCGATGGCTGGTTAAGGTCACGTCTTACGGGTCAGGGCAGCACTTTAAAGACGCGGTCGCAGCAGAAAGTTGCCTAGCAGCCGAGGTGACGATGGAATATAGGTTAAATACGTTGGTACAAGCGATGTTGTTTATTCTACGTGCCCACTAACGTCCCAGCAGCAGCTGATCCTACCGGCGGCAGCTGATCCTACCGGCGGAAGCTGATCCTACCGGCGGAAGCTAATCCTACCGGCGGAAGCTGATCCCACCGTCGGTAGCGCCGCTGCCGTCGTGTATTCAAGGCGAACACGGCGGACGACAGAAGAGACAAACAAGGTTAGGGTCCTCAGGAGAGCGGTCCTGGCGCAGCTAGGGTTATTGTAGGCGAAACAGGCTACTGTACAGGAGAACAGCGCGCGGTCGACATTGAGCGTCAGATGAGACGGCTTAGCAGGAGATACAACAGCCAGCTTTTATACCTCTAGGCCGGAGGGTTGGTAAGCGGGCTAGTCGGCAGGAGAACAGCGCGTCGTCGACATACAGCCGCCCAATCAGAAGAGGGCTCAGCAGGTGATTTTATCATCGGCGCTTTCACGCCAGGCAAAGGGTACAAAGCGGCGGCCATAAGGGACAAAGCAGGCCTTCAGGCTTAGCAGGTTGCAAGACGGAGGGATAACCGAGGTACAACTAGGTTAAGAAGGTAGGCAGGCAAACAGCAAACAAAGCAGGGTAGGAAAGGGCAAGCAGGGTTAGGGTTACTTCATCTAAGGCGGTTATAGACAAAGTCGATGGCAAGCACAGAGGATAGGGTTAAGGTGGGAAGAGCGAGGGGTTTGTAGTGGAAGCGGTAGGAAGGGCGTGGCCAGGGGTGAAGGAGGAAGTAACGCAGGTTCGCAGGGGGTTACAGTGGGTAGGGGCGGGTCTCTTCCGAGGTTATCAAGACCAGAGGGCAAGGCGGGGGTTCACGAGGTGGCTTCAAGCAAGACTTTAAGCTTGTAGTAGAGACAGAAGGCAGAGAAGGGGGGGGGGTTTACACAACAGACAGGAAGGCAGAGAGGCAGGCAAGAGATAGCCGTGCGAAAAGGGGGCGCACTGTGATACGTACTGTAGGGGAAATACAGGCGGGTCCGGGGGGCGGCGGTTAGCCAGGATGGTCCCCCGCGGCTTCTTCTCCCGGCCGCTCCAACGTGTCCCGTCCGATGCCGAGGGGTAGGCGGCAGGAGTAGTAGTAGGGGCCCCCCACGGCCCCGGTAGGGCCAGGTTAGGGCTAGAAAGACGCGTGGATAAGGCATGTACGTAGGGAGGGAGGAGGGGGCCGGCAGCGGCAGGTCCGTCCGGGTCAGCGTGGCGGGGAGGGGGGTTCGGGTGGGGGAGGGGAGAGAGGCGAAGGGGCAGGAAAGAAGAAGAGGACCGAGTAGGTAGGTAGGCCGGGCAGGACAGGGTGTGCTCCTTAAAGGGAGCCAGCAGTAGCAAGAACAAACAAAAAGGGAAGGTAGGCAAAAATCACTATAAGGCTTAAGGCTTCGTTCTGTTTCTTATAGCATAACACATACTATGAGCAGTAAATTACGAAAGCCCCGCGGGGCTTTCCCCCATTAGTAGTAGTAGGGGCAGCAGTAGCAGCAGTAGTAGTAGTTATAATAGTCGTAGTAGTAGTAGCAGCAGTAGGAAGCAAGACCCTAGGGTAGGCTTATAGAGCTAAAGGCACTATAGGGTTACGTCTTCATCCTAAGCACTATCTATCAGTCAGACCAGCTAGACTGTCACCTACCTCCCTGCTCTCATAGTGGTCATATACAGGCAAAAGCCCCGCGGGGCTTTTCCCAGATGCGAGCATCCTCGGTTTTCCAGTCGAGGGCGGTCTCAGGATTGTCTAGAAGCCCCGCGGGGCTTTCCCCCAGTCGTAAGCGTTTTCGGCTTTTCCAGTCGAGGGCGTTCTCAGGGTTACCTAGAAGCCCCGCGGGGCTTTCCCCCAGTCGTAGGCGTTCTCGGTGTTAGCCAAAAGCCCCAGGGGGCTTTTTCCAGTCGCGAGCGTTCTCTGCTGGTTCAAACACCAAGGTCGCCATGGACGTGGCCAAGCATAGCAAAAAGCCCTAGGTATCTTTTGTAAGCCAAGTCCGGAGCCTTCTCTGCTGCTTCAACTAGCCTGGCCACAGTAGAAGCCCTGCCAGGTCTTTCCAAGTCCTGGGTGTTGTTTGCTTGTTGGACTGGCTAGACGAAAACAGAAGCCCTACCTGCTAGGTCTTTCCAATCAGAACCAGTATGTGTGGTTTCCCAGGCATCTAGCAAGACGGCAGGTGAGTGGGAGTCGTAGTTGTGACGAGAGAGCGTGACGAGAGAGGCTATGTAGTTCGAAGCACGGGATGGTAAAGAAGGAGTCTTCAGACAGAGTCAGGAGATGAGTGATTAGCCGTCGAAGAGGGGAGGGGAGGGGGGAGAGAGCAAGAGAGGGGGAAGTGAAGGACAGGGGCGCCTAGGGATAACATAGCCAGTAAGGAAGGGAGCCCAAGACAACCAAGCGCAACCTGTCGTTAAGGAACAAAGGGGGCCAAAAGGTGGCAGTAAAACAGTACACGTACTAAACAAACCAGGATCTGTATTGTCAGCCTAGGTAGGGCCTGTAAACAGATCAGTTATGCCTCTTCTAGGTCGAGAAGGTTATGAGGCCTGGATACTACAGGTAAAACGTAAAGCCCAAGGGACAGACTTGGACGGACATAGGGCTGGTTTTGTAGATGGGAATACTGAGTGGCTGGGCCGCAAGCGGACGGTAGAGACACATTAGTACGTTACCGCCAGGTAGGGCTAGCCTCCTCGCACCACATACCAAGCTGAGCCAGATTTATTACGTAATCCACAGAGTCCTACAACGTAGCCTTTATCAGGATAAAGAAGCAGTAATAGAAGCAGAAAGCCAAACGAGTATATAGCCCACACAGCACCTTAGTAAGGGAAGGAAGTCTAGAGACATCTTAGTATTATATACTAGATGTATTTCATAAGAGGAAAAACCGCAGTCGCCTAGCATTTACACTCTATACCATTTTAGGATATAAATAAAACCTATATTAAGTCAAGAGCATAACGTAAAACTATAGCCAACCTTACAGGATAAGTCAACGTACCCACTTTCGGGCCACCCCTACTTTCGGGCCACCCAAAAATGATGCCATCACAACCACCACTACCACTTTAATCACTTTATTAACTAGCTGTTGGTGCCACTTCAATACAGCTTTCGGCCTCACTAGATAATTCAGAGTCGCTAGTTTCAGCCGTACTACTCTCAACTTCACCAGCCTCAATTTAGGCTTACTGCACCTCTCTGATTATTGCAAACTTCGTATTTAGGTCTAATTAAACAGCCTTCCTCTTCCTGCTGGCAGCTTTGTTAACCTGGGCCTAGAGGAGCTGTATTTGGTGCTAGGCAGTAGCCAAATGGAAGGACTGCTCTTAGAAGCCTTTTTTTACTTTTCTAAAGAGCTAGCGTTGTGTAGTAATATTTTATTCTAGTTAGCTAAATAGGTGTAGTTAATCCCTAAGGTCCTTTACCTTCCTTAGTGTAGACCACTTTACAGCAGATAAAGCAGATACCTATTCCTCTATACCCTAGGCATTATAGGCACTAGAGATACCTCTAGTAGTCTTATTAAGTAGTGTTAATAGTGTTATTATTAATAATAATGCCTTAGGCAGTAGTAATAAGCTTATAAGGGGCTTTATAATAGTAATAGGCTATAACCTAGTGTATTTCTAGCTACTTTTTATATTACTTTTAGTTAGCCTAACTAGGTATACCTTCTAATAATAGAAAATAAAGTTTCTTTTACTAATAATAGTAAAATTATTTTACTACTAAAGGT